CCTCCTCCTCCTCCTCCTCCTCCTCCTCCTCCTCCTCCTCCTCACTTCCCCTGTCGCAAGGTCGCTATGCCATCTCGCGTGGGACCCGCTTCGTTCCGTCGCTCATCCGTTGTCCCCCGGCGGTGGTGCCAAGCTCCAGGCGTCCCACCCACGCAGTACAGCGCTTCGTGGCCCCATGGGGAGCTCCACCGACGGCCCCAGCGCTACCGCCCGCATGGCCCCCCCCCCCACCCAGTACGGCGCTTCGTGGCCCCATGGGGAGCTCCAGTGAAGGTCCCAGCGCCACCGCCCGCATGCGCTCCCCCCCACCCAGTGCAGCGCTTCCTGGCCTCCAAGGCTTCGGGGCCGGGCCTGGGGCCCGCCGTCCGGTCCCGACGGCCCCGCGGGCTCACCGCGCTCACCCCTCCGCGCGCCGCCCCGCACGGAGCGCGCGGGCCCCTGCCGGGTCTCGCCGGCTGGGCGCTCGGCCCCGGCGTCTCGGCACGATCCGCGCCGCAGGCGCGGACTCGACCACGGGGTAAAGGATGACCCTTCGCTGGAGGGACCTCTGTCGGAAGCTGGAACATATACGTTACAGTCGGGCCGCTGAAGAAGGAACCCTTTTCGTTTGGGAGGGGCTCCGTGTGCCTTAGTTGCTTTACAGCGCTCCTTGGGCTTTCCCCAGGTGTTCCATAGAACATCGGAGTTTAACTTATGGGAAAAAGGGGCCTCGTTCCTTATTTATCGTTCCTTAGGTCAACGCCCCGACTGTACCAGTGGCGGGCTGTTTCTCAATCCCAGGACTTTTTGAGTGTCGGGGACGACGTCGGGGTGGTGTGGTGTATTTATTTTTTCCCCGATGTCCCGGGGGAACAACAAAAAGTGTATACACCAGAATCCGCATACACCAGGATCCGCTTTCCCGTGCGCATGTCAGTGCGGGGCGGGAAGAAGCGTCGGTGTATAGAGTTCGTTTCCTTACTTTGGTGCGGCTCACTGGGGGTCCCCCCGATCGCTGAGCGCGATGCGACAGTGGCTGCTTGCGTGTTTGAATCTTCTGGACGCCCGAAATGGGCACGGAAAGAATGGGTACACTGCCCAGCAGCAGTTCCTGTTCATTTGGAACCGGATTCGCTGTTCGCGCCGCCGCGGCCTGTGTCCATTCGAGACAGAAGGCCGCCTGCCCAACAGCGGCCGCTGTTGGTTTGGGACAACACTTGTTGTTGGGCATTGTGCCCATCCTTTCCGTGCCCATTTCGGGCGTCCATAGATCTGGCCGTGACGCCGTCCCCGCCGCCCGCGGGCCGCCCCGGCTGCTCACGTTGGAAGGCTTCCGCCTCCGAGCGCTTGCCCTCCCCTCCTTCTCTGCGGCCGCCCGTCCCTTCCTTTTGTCCCTCCTCCCGCATGCTGGCCAACTTGCCTCAGGAGGGAAAAAACACACAGACAGAATTGATCGTCGATCCCCAGGAAAATATGGGAAAATATGGGAAGTGGGGGGGAAGACAGAAACCCAGAAAATATTGGAAAATATGGGGAATCATTGCATTTGTGTGTGTAGTTATTTGTGTGTCCCAGGGCCCCTTCACTTTTTCCCTCCTCCTGCATGCTGGCCAACTTGCTTTGCAGTGCCACTGCGTCGCTGCCACGCTGGAGTGGATCGCCCCGCCCCGCTACCGACGGAGCAACAAGAACATTGGAATTGACCACTCTGCGCCCCGTTCCTTTGGGATGCAACTCCTGGGAGGTCAAATTCTGGTTTTGCACTGGTCCGTAATCCCGCTTAATCCTGCTTGATCCCGCTTGATCCGGCTGAATCCTGCTCAATCCGAGGCCCACTCCGGCGGCGTAGTAGCTCCCACATGGGGCTTAATCCTCCTCAAACTTTCCGACAGAAAACCTCCCAGTAGTTGCCTCCTAACTTCCTCCGCGCACGCAGGGTCGCTCTTGTCCAGACTCCTGCTTGCGTGCCGCCGACCGACCGTGCGGAGGTACAGTCGAGGCGCTGACGTGAGTCGGGAGGGAAAGAAACACACAGGCACAATAAATCGTCGACCCTCCCAGGAAAATATTCGGAAAATATAGGAAGTTGGGGGGGGAGACGAAAGCCCAGAAAATATGGCAAAATATGGGGTATTCTGGGATTTGTGAGTATTTTTGCTATATTTATATACACATTGTTATTATTAGTAGTAGTCTTATTATTCGTATTATTATTAATATTAGTATTATTATTAGTAGTACTAATATTAGTATTGTGTGTGTGTCTGTGTGTCTGTGTGCGTGCGTGCGTGCGTGCGTGCGTGCGTGCGTGCGTGCGTGCGTGCGAGCGTGCGTGCGTGCGTGCGTGCGTGCGTGCGTGCGTGCGTGCGTGCGGGCGTGCGTGCGTGCGTGCGTGCGTGCGTGCGTGCGTGCGTGCGTGCGTGCGTGCGTGCGTGCGTGCGTGTGTTGCATGTTTACTTTCTGCTTGTGTGTGTGTGTGTGTGTGCGCGGTGTGTGTGTGTTGTGAATGTGTGTGTGTATGTCTGTGCGTGTGCGTGTGCGTTGCGTGTGCGCGTGCGCGTGCCGCACGTGCGCAGTATCTTGTCCTTTTGTTGCGCGTGCGCGTGCGCGTGCGCGTGCTCGTGCGCGTGCTCGTGCGCGTGCGCGTGCGCGTGCGCGTGCGCGTGCGTGTGCGTGTCGCGTGCGTGTGCGTGTGCGTGTGCGGAGGGCGTGCGATCTCTGTGCGTTCTGGAATCGCGTGGTGTGCGTGCTGCTGTGCTGCGTGTGCGTGTGATTGGCTGTCGGTTGTTGCGTGTGCGTGTGCGTGTGCGTGTGCGTGTGCATTTGCGTGTGCGTGTGCGTGTGCGTGTGCGTGTGCGTGTGCGTGTGCGTGTTCGTGCGCGTGCGCGTGCGCGTGCGCGTGCGCGTGTGCGTGTGCGTGTGCGTGTGCGTGTGCGTGCGTGGGTGCCTGGGTGCGTGCGTGCGTGCGTGCGTGCGTGAGTGTGCGTGTGCGTGTGCGTGTGCGTGTGCGTGTGCGCGTGTGTGTGTGTGTGTGTGTGTATGTGTGTGTGTGTGGGTGCGTGTGCGTCCCTGGGCCCCTTGAATGAGGAGCAGCTTGGCATCGGAGGGGGCCCGCTGATCCTCCGGCCCTCCCCTGGCTGTGCCCGCATCGCCCCCGGCGCACCCAGAGGCGCCCCTGTGGCCGGCAGGGGGGGGGCCCGTGCCTCGTTTCGCGCTCCTGGCGGCAGCACGATGGTTGTAGGGATGCGGGAGCGGTCAGTGCCATGACGTCACGATTTGGGAGGAGGAGGAAGAGGACGAGGAGGAGGAGGACGAGGACGAGGAGGAGGAGGAGGAGGAGGAGCAGGAGGAGGAGGAGGAGGAGGAGGAGGAGGGGGAGCATGGCCCCTCTTGCTGGTTCCATACGTCCCTTGGCCCCCTGGGACGTGCACGCGCCTCGGGCCCTCCCGTGCGGACCCCCCCCCCCCTCTCCTGGGTGCCCCCCTCTCCCGCGGACGCCCCCGACGGATCGTGTCCGCGCCCGGTGCTTGCCGAGAGCTCCTGGCATCGGGGAACGAAGAAGGCATAAACGTACGAGCGCGGAGGTCCGCGCGGATCGGCGCTGGACCCCCCCCCCTGCCGCGCGGAGCGCGCCAGGGGCGGCGCCGGAGGCGCCGCCAGGGGGGTCCAGCGCGGATCCGAGAGGTCCGCGCGGACCTCCGAATGTTTATGTTTATGCCATTCTTCGTTCCCCTAATTAGGCCTGGCGTGAGACGTACGCACGTTTGAAGCAGCTTGCATCAGCAGCATAACCACCTTCACAAGGCTGAGTACCACGGTGGGTGGGCTAAAAGTGTCCACACGTGTCTCGCCAAGACCTTGAGGTATCACAGCACTTCGGACCATACAGTCAACGCGCCTAGTAAGGACGCGCGCCTTTACCTAGGCTGCCCTTGTGTCCTTGCACCTGCGGCCTGTCCTCTGCCGTTTTCACTGGTCGCCCGCCGCCCCAAGAGTCCCCGCTTCGGCCTCCAAGGGTCTTGCGCCCTTACCACCCACCCTTAATGCACGTTTTAGCTGTAATGTTCATCGTCCGTTCCCCCAGTTATTCCATCTCCTCCAGCGGCCTCCAAGGGTCTTGCGTCCTTACCACCCACCCTTGATACACGTTTTGACCGTAATGTTCATCGTCCGTCCCCCGAGTTCTTCCATCTCCTCCAGCGGCCTCCAAGGCTCTTGCGTCCTTACCACCCACCCTTAATACACGTTTTGACCGTAATGTTCATCGTCCGTTCCCCGAGTTCTTCCATCTCCTCCGGCACAGGTGTCGCGTTTCCCTTGGGTGCTGGGCCTTCTGTCGCACTTGGCTGCGGTCTGGGCCGAGGAACTCGCCATGTTTGTCGGGGACACCGAGAGCGTGGGGGGGGGCGCGGTCGCTGGTCTTCGGCCAGATCTGGCGCGGCCCCGGGGGGGGGGGGAGGAACGGCGGAGGAGGAGGATGGAGGAGGAGGAGGTGAGGTGAGGAGGAGGCAGGAGGAGGAGGAGGGGGTGGAGGGGGAGGAGGGCAAGGGACTCGAGGGCAGGAGGAGGAGGAGGCTCGCAGGAGAGGAGGAAGGGCAGGAGGAGGAGGAGGAGGAGAAGAGGAGAAGAGGAGAAAGAGGAGAAGAGGAGAAGAGGAGAAGAGGAGAAGAGGAGGAGGAGGAGGAGGAGGAGGAGGAGGGGGCCCCAGGGCCACCGTGCTTCTGGGCGCGTGCCCCGCGCAAGCGGCGCCGGCGTGGGGAGCCCATGCCCTGGCGCACGTGCCCCATGCTTCGGGCAGGGGATCTGCTGCAGAACTGCTGCGCCCCAAGATAAAAATCGTCTCGTCGGGTCTACGGGAAAGAGTCCCTCGAAGTCCCAGGAGATGTGCGAACATTCCTCACGTACTCGTCGTAGATTTGGTGGGGGGGGGCCAGTTCTGGGGCAGATCAATTCTGTAGTCGACCCTCTATTCGAAGCCTGCGTGTCCGCCTCACGCTTCTTGGCCTCCGGGCAGGCCGTTGGTGATGGCGAGCGCCTGGAGACGGCGATGCAGCGGCTCCTGCTGACGGACGCGTCGGTGCAGTCGCAGAGGGACATATCGCCAGTATTGGGTGCAGGCACCCTGGGGCTTCACTGAGTGCTTCCAGCATTGGAGAGTGCGTTGTTCAATCTCCGTTTCTCCCTCCCTCTCCCTCCCTGCCTATCTCTCTCTCTCTCTCTTGTTCGCTCGTTCCCTCTCTGTCTCTCTCTTTTTCCGCCCACTCCCTCTCTCTATATAGTTTGAGTTTGTTTTCTCTCTCTCTCTCTCTTGTTCTCTTTTTTGTTGTTTCTCTCTCTTTCTGGCTCCCTGTTCTCTCGAGGGAGAACGGGAAGACGGGGACGCGGCATGGCGAGCGCACCAGCGCAGGCGAGCGCACCAGCGCGCGCATGGGAGCGCCAGGGCAAGCGGGCAGGCTCGAGCAGGCAGGGCGAGACGTGCGCAGGCACGAGCCGTCGCGCAGGGCCGCTGCCCGGGGCGTCTCGGCTGCCGGGCCCCCCCCCCTCGCCAGCGGCGAGCAGAGGAGGGAGCCCCACGGGCGACGGGGTTGTTACCGCAGGCCCGCGCGCCGCGGCGGCCGGCGGCCCCCCCTGTGCCCCTTGGGGAGGGCCCAGGGCCACCTGGGGCCCCCGGCACGTCCCACAGGAGCCAAGCGGATCCAGCGCGGGTGGAGGCGGCAGCCATTGCTGGCGGCAGCGGAGGAGGAGGAGGAGGAGGAGGAGGAGGAGGAGGAGAGAGGAGGGGAGGAGGAGGAGGAGGACGGAGGAGGAGGCGGGGGGGGGGGGGGGGGGGAGGCAGGAGGAGCAGCGAGGAGGGGAGGAGGAGGAAGAGGAGGAGGAGGAGGAGGAGGAGGAGAGGAGGGGAAAGAAGAGAATCGAGAAGAAGAAGAAGACAGAGGAAGGAAACTGCTCTGAAGAAAGAAGAAAAGAAGAGGAGCGAGGAGTAAGGAGGAGGAGGAGGAGGAGGTGGCGCCAGCCGAGCCTCCCAGCGGCCGCGGCCAGCTGGCACGCCTGTCGCGCTGGGCTCACACCTGGCCCCGAGCTTCGGCAGCGTCTTGCCACCGGCTGGGGTCCTGGCGGTGGCCAGCCAGCGCTTGCACCGAATACCGGAGGGCGTTCGGCCCTCGAATGCCCCAAGGAGCCACCCGACCCTCCTGGGCGCCGTGCTCGTGGAAGGCCGGTTGAGAGCAGGGACCCAGCCACACGGGTCAGGTTCTGATTCTAATCCGTCTTGTTTCTTTTGTCAGCGGGTGACCTCAGGTTCATTATTGGCCGGCGCTTCACCTTTCCTCGCCAAGATATTGGAGTTTGTTTTCGGACGGCTCCCTGCTCTGTTGCTCGCTCGCTCGCCTTTCCTCCTCCTCACTTGCTCTTCCTCCTCCTCCTCCTCCTCCTCCTCCTCCTCCTCACTTTCCTCCTCCTCCGTTTCCTCCTCCTCCTTTTCTTCCTCCTCCCTCTTCCTCCTCCGCCTCCTCCTCCTCCTGATTATCCTCCCTCCTCCTCCTCCTCCTCTCCTCTCCCCTCCTCCTAGCGCCGCGTCCCTCCTTCCTGCTCCTCCTCTCCTCCTGCTCCTCCTCCTTCCTGTCCGCCTCCTGTCCTCCTCCTCTCCTCCGAACCTCCCCTCCCCTCCTCCTCTCCTTCCTCTGCTTCCTCTCCCTCCTCCCTCCTTCTCCTCCTCCTCCTCCCCTCCTCTCACTCCTACTCACCTTCTTCCTCCTCCTCCTCCTCCATCTCCTCCTCTCCTGATCAGCCGTTGATCTCGAACTGCATGCGTCCAGACACGCCATGCCCCGCTTGCCAGCAGCGACTGTCGTCCCTGCGCTCGTTCCCTCTTCTCTGGGCTCCGCACTGCCCGCTCCCAGGGTTCCGCTGCGGCTTCCTGGGCCTCCTGCACCTCGACGTCTTCAGGCGGCAGGGCCGAGGGCGAGGGAGGGTCGGAGAGGGAAGGACTGCAGGAACACCAGCCGGGACCTCGGGCGCCGGCTGCGAACAGAAAAAGCTGCACGACGGCACGTCTTGTGTGAGTTTTTTTTGTCAGGGGCACCAGAGCCCTCACGGGTCGGTCCGGCCAGGGACAGCAGGCGCAGACGTGGCACGACCTCCAGAGCTCAGGTGGTGTGCTTTCACGATGGTGGTTTTGTCACGACGTCGCGTGTGGGAGAGAGACGGAGGAAGAACCACGCTGGGAGGGTGTGAGAAGGAGGGGGATTCATCGTCTTGCACAGTAGTGTTCTAGAGCTCGGACCTCTTTATGTTCGTTCGTGGTTCGTTCGTGGTTCGTCGTCGTCCCCCTGGCTCTGGCCCCTCTCCCTTGGGCCCCTCGCCCCAACCCAGACCTCTGGCCCCTGATCCCAGTCCCGGCCCCAGACCCAGCCTCTCCTCTGGCCCAGCCTTGCATACTGATTCTCCTTACTTCCTCCTCGCCCCCTTGCCTCCTCCACTCCTCCCGCCTTAGCTCTGAGCTTCGCTGAGCGTACCTTTTGAGAACAAGGAGAAGCTGGTCGCCGTCGCCGACGCCGCCCAGACGACCATGCCGATGATGCTCCGGGAAGAACAGTCGCCCTCCTCCACCCCTCCTCTGCCTTCCAGTCTTACTCCCCCCCGGATCCTCGCTTCCCCCCACCCCATCCCCCCCCCCCGCCGCCGCTGCTGCTCTTCCTCCACTCCTCCGCCACGCACGGCCGGCGGGAAGCCCCGCCCCCGTGCAGCCCCGCAGCATCGGTGCCGGCTGCTCGGGCCGATAGCCGCGCGAGTGACGATGCTCGCGGCGATGGTGGCGCCAGTGAGAGGTGGGGAGCAAGGAGGAGGATTAGGATGAGACAGAAAAGGGAATCGGGCGAGAGGAAAAAGAGGAGGACGATGCGACGAGAGTTGCAGCGGAGGAGGACATTGGACGCACAACTTGTTGATCACGAGTGCATTCAACAAATCGAAGGATAGATACTGACAGCGACGACGGTGATAAGGATGATGAGGAGGTGGAGGAGGAGGAGGAGGAGGAGGAGAGAACGACGAGCACGAGAGGACAACGGAAGCCCTTCGACACCACACTCCCATCGCCTCCCCTTATCCAATTGGCCCTCGCCATGGACCGCCACGGGCCCTCCCCTCGTGGACCGCGTGCAGGCGCGCGGGCCGCCCTCCGGGCGTCGCGGACTGCCGGGGGCGGCTGCGCAAAGACCGCGCCCGGGCCCCTGCGCTCCGCAGGGGGCGCCCCGGTCCCCGCGGCCCCCGCCCTCTCCTCCCGCCCGTCCTCCTGCCCCCCCGTCCTCCTTCTCCCTCCTCCCGCCCGTCCGTCTTCCTCTCCCCCCACTCCCCCCCCCCCTTCCCCCCTCTTCCCCCCTTTTCCCCCTGCTTCCTCCCGCCCGTCCTCTCCCCCCCTCTGGCCCCCCCCCTCCTCACCGCCCGTCCTCCTCTCCCCCCCCGCCCTGTGCGTGGTTGGGCGTCTTGCGCAAGAGAGCCAGCGGCGCCGCTTCGTATGCTCCGCCGTTTTGGGCCGTTTGTGCTCCCCTCGCCAGAGGTGCGGAGGTGGCTCTCTCATGGGCGCAGTGCTCTTCCCGACGCCTCGGCTCCTGCCTTCTCCTGGCATCGCTCGGACGCGCGCATGTTTTCCCCGGCGAGGACCATCGAGGAGCATCCTTGATCATTTGGCGAAAAAAACCACGCACGAAACTGAAAAAAGCACAGGGAATGGACGTCCGAGCGATGGCCAGTTCTTCGGGGCGGCAGCAAACCAGAAGTCTGCTCCGCTGAAGCCAGCGCAAGTACAGTTCTGATGTGTTCACCATGCGTTGTACGTGCGCTCGCATGTGTCTGCGCTGGTGTGCCCGCATGCGTGTGCTTGGCAGTCGCATGTGTGCGCACGTGGCTTGCACGTCCAAGCGGTCCAAGCGCGTGTGTCATTCCCGCGCGTGCCAGCGCACTAGTGCGTCCAAGCTCCGCGTCCCCATGGCCACAATTTTTCCTGAAAGTTCTGAAAGTCTTCCACGCGCTCCGTGTCCCCGCCATCCCATCTAGCCACCAATGTACCGTTCACTCTTTGCGTGCTCTAACGCGCAATTCCGTTGTATGGTGTGGTCTGCTCGCTTGCGGTCTAACCACCGATTGCTGGGCATGATACCCGTTTTGCCGATTTGGTCTTAACGGTCTTGTTTGAGAGGACGCGTGGGCCCACAGGATTGCATAGCTTTGGGGGTGCTGATTCGGCGAGCGCAAAGGTGCGGCTGTTTGAGCGGATTCGCTACGTCATCGTCTTCGGTTTCTCTGGCGCAGCTTGCGCGACGGAATAAACCGGGGTCGATTGCGCAGACATTTTCGCGTAATCTGCCCGCGTAAGAACGACGTGCGTAAGCGCCATCGTTCCCAATCGTGCCGCGCTGGCGGTTCGCGTAAGCCACCGGTTGAGGTCGCCATGTGATCTTGCGAAAGACCCGTTTCTTCTTTCCTCATTCCGGCCTTCCCGTGGTCATCGCTCTGCTCCGCCCTGGTCCGCTTCCGCTTTTTCCTGCCCCTCCAGGCTCGCGCGCGCTGGTGGCACGCGTGTGCCCACGCCCGTTTCCCCTACGGCGGCACTTGGGAGGCCTCCAGATCGGTCGGCGATGCATCGCCGATTCCACGCAGAAGCCCTCCCCCCCATCTCTGGGACTGGGGAGACGGGCGCTGATGGCAACGGGCCCCATGGACCCTGGCGCCCTCCCCCCGGGGCGAGCTCTTCCTCCTGGGCCCTCGTCCGACGGCCCCGGAGCCCGTGGAGGGCCCCGGGAGCCCGAAGGCGGAGAGAAGCCTCAGGACCCGCTCACAGCCAAGCCGCTGACATAAGGAGCAGCCCGGGCACGAGAGGGGCTCGAGGTTGCTTCGGTCATTCCGTGGCTGCTCCTCTATAGCCCTCCCTGTCACGGCTGACGCTTCTGGGGCCAAACGAGGGGCTCTTCGGGCTAAGACGCTGGCATAAGGAGCAGCCCGGGCACGAGAGGGGCTCGATGTGCCTTCGGTCATGCTGTGGCTGTTCCTCTATAGCCCTCCCTGTCACGGCTGACGCTTTTGGGGCCAAACGAGGGGCTCCGTGCCTTCTGTTTGCCGTTCCCTGTCTCAGCGGCCCGACTGTACCTCAGGACCCGGCTCCCCCATGGCGACACCTGGGGGCCTCCTCTAGCTCTGCCGGCGATGCATCGCCGGTGCCGGGCAGAAGCTCCCCGCCCCTTGAGCAGGCCGCTCCCTGGCGTGGACCCCCCCCGGCCTGCCCACGGCGCGCGCCCGCGGTGTGAAGGGCGTCGGCCGCGCGGCGCCGCCACGGCCTGTGGAGGCGGTGCAGCCTTCGACCAAAGACAGGGCGCCTGTCGACCAAAGAACGGCGGCGAGCGAGGGGTGACGAACGAGCAACACACGCCCATACCCATAGGGGGGTCGTTGGGAGGAGGACTGGCTATGGGTACGGGTGCGGGTTGTCGGACCCTGGGGAGCGCTCCCGTTCGAGCGGGGACCCCCGTCCGACAACACGCACCCATAGCCCTCTCCGACCCCTCTATGGGTATGGGTGTGTGTTGTTGGTTCGTCAAGGGGGGGAAGCGAGAAGGAGAGGGCCTCCTCGGAAGGCGGCGGGGCTTCTCAGAAGCCCTCGCGCCTCCTGAGAGGCTGTTTGTGTCTTCGGGGAGGGAAGGCTGGGACAATTTCTCAGAGGGCGGGGGGACTTCCGAGCCCTCTGAGAAGGCCTTCTCCTTCTCACTTCCCCCCCAGGCTCGCCGCGAAAAAGGCAAACGACACCACCCCACCTGCGGCCCTCCATGTTGCGCTCCTACCCATGGAGGGCCGCAGCGTATGCCACGCAAAAGCCCACGCCAGATTTGCTGGTATACACTAAGCCCCGTGGGGCCATAAGTGGGGTGGTGTCGTTTGTTTTCTGGTCCAGTTTAGTCGGTACGATCAAAAACAGGGTACGGAAAGGATGGGTACGAAGACCAACAGTATTTCCTGCTCTCTTTGGGACGGGACAGCGGCCGTTGTCGGTTTTGGACAACATGTTCTGTTGTGCATTATTCGGGCCCACTTTGGGCGTCCAAATTCGAGTTTTGTCGTGGGCGGTCCAGGGTGGACGTGGGCGGTTTTCCTGGGGGCCGGGTGGGCTCTACAAGTGCTGCGGGTGGGTGTAGGTTCTCCCGCATTCATTGATCGAGCCGTGGTGGTTACTCACAGTCCGGACACTTTGGTTTCGCGTGTCGCGCCGCTGCTTCTGGTCCACCACGCCTCGGCGCGACACGCCAACCGATTCCCAACTCCCGAGCGTCATCGTGCCGATTCCCGGCATCCCGCCCCGCGGAGCGGAGCGACGCGCTGGAAGCTCGCAGGGCACAGCGCGTCGCAGAGGGGCGCCGCCGAGCCACGCCGAGCCGCAGGCAGCGACTGGGCGGCGAGTACAACGTGCCCGTGCTCGCCACGTCGCCCACCGTGCCGTACAGGTCTCGCGGCCGCGCGTGCCCTCCGTGCCCCGCCCTGGGCTCTGAGCCACCTCGTTCGCCGTCATCCTCAGTTGAGATCCTCTCCGTGTCTCGCGGCATGCACCGTTCGAGTAGGGGATCAGCTACAGAATTGATCTACCCCAAAAATTGGCTTTCTCGTCGAATCTGAGAAAAGTATGCAGAAGTCCCAGTAGATTGCTGAACATTCTATGTTTTCGTCGTAGATTCGATGGGAAATCAATTTTGGCGTAAATCAATTTTGTAGTCGGCCCCCTACTCGAGCCCTGGTATGAAATTCCGCAGCGCTCACTGCAGTGTGTGGCGCTCGCGCTCTGCGCCTTCCTCTTGCCCCCGTCTCCCGCAGTGGTGCGAATGCCACGTGCTGGCCACACACCGGTCGTTGTTGTTTGCCTCGTGCTGGCCCAAGCCTGGTGTCTGCTGCGCAGGCGTACAGTCAAGACGCTGAAATAAGGAACAGTTTGGTTTCGGAAAGGGCTCGATGTTCCTTAGGTTCCTCCGGTGCTGTTCCTCTTGCCCCCCTGGGGCACGGATGCGCTCACAGGGCCAAGAAGGGGCTTCGTTCCTTACTTAGCGTTCCTTCTTTCAGCGGCCCGACTGCATTTGTCGACTACACGTGAGTGTGACCTTTCGCCGGAGTGACCTTTGGCGCGGGCACAATGGGGTCCCCCGATCACCGACTGCGATGCGATCGTAGCGCCTTGCGCGCCTGGGCTTGGCCCCCCCGCAGACCCCCAAGAGCCGCGCACCAAGGGTCACTCTTACCCAGGGTCATTTTTGCGTGTAGTCGACCGACGGAGGCGACGAGAGGGGCGAATGCAGTGGAAACCCATGCCAAGAAGCACCTGCTTGCCTCCAGGGTGCCCCGGGTTTCTCGGGTTTCGATGGTCTTCCTGTGGAAAGCGCGGCGTTCCCACACCAAAAATCAATGGACGTCCTGGGGCCACAGGGTTCTGCACCGTCGAGCCCCAAAGCTAAGACGAAGCTGTCCTGGGTCACTCTTGCGTGTAGCCGAATTTGTATCCGCTGCTCCCCGGGCCTCTCCTGGGGCGCGCCCTGGCAACAAGGGCGAGGCGTGGCGACTCCGGCCGTAGCGCCGAGGGCCTCCCGGGAGGCCCAGCACTGCGAGAACGAAGGCCCAAAAAGGAAAGGCAGGAGGAGGAGGAGGAGAAGGAGGGGGAGCAGGAGGAGGAGGGCGCTCGCGCGCCTCGCGCGCCGGTCGTCTGGAGTACATGCAATCCATTTTTGCTCGTCGGCGAGGAGAGCAGGAGGAGGAGGAGGAGGAGGAGGGGTAAGGAGCAGGAGAGGAGGAGGAGCAGGGGAGAAGGAGGAGGAGGAAGAGGAGGAGGGGGGGGAGAGGAGGAGGAGGAGGAGGAGGAGGAGGAGGAGGAGGAGGAGGAGGAGGAGGTATACTTTCCCCTCCTTTGAGTATCTCGTTGGCTCGGGGTGCCCCGTGCCAGGAGGCCCAGCACAGCGAGAGCGAAGGCCCAAAAAGGTATTCTCCCCTCCGTGGAGCGCCTCGTTGGCTCGGAGTGGGGCTCGCCCGTGCATGCTGGCACTTCCCTTCGCCGACGGGCCGACCCGGCCTGGGTGCTGGGGATCTGCCGTCGGGAACTGTTGGATCGCGCGTCGCTCCCCCGAGTTCTGGCCCAGCACGCTTCGGCGCGACGCGGGAGCCGCTGCCCGGCTTCCAGGCTTCAACGTCCCGAGCTCTCCCGAGCCCCCCGCCCTACGGAGCGGGCCGAAACCGTAGCCGCTCGCAGAGCACTGCGGGTCGTTGGGGCCGCCACAGCGACAAGCGATCTAGAAGTTCCTGGCCGTGCCCTGGCCGTGTCCTGGGCCCCCTGGCTCGCTCTGAAGTTCGGCGGCGAGCCCCGGGGGGAAGTGAGAAGGAGGTGGCCTCCTCAGAGGGTTCGGACGTCCCCCCGCCCTGCGAGAAGTGTTCGAAGCAGTTTCCCCGAAGACACCGAGAACTTATCAGAAGGCGCGAGGGCTTCTGAGAAGTCCCGCCGCCGTCCGAGGAGGCCTTCTCTTCACTTCGACTAGACGTAAGAGTGACCTTTCGCAGGAGTGACCTTTGGTGCGGGCCCAATTGGGTCCCCCGATCGCCGAACACGATGTGATAGTAGCGTCTTGCGCGCTTGTGTTGGGCCCCGCGCACCAAGGGTCACTATTACCCAGGGTCACTCTCGCGTGTAGCCGATCATTTCCCCCCAGGGCGAGGAGAAGGAGGAGGAGGAGGAGGAGGAGGAGGAGGAGGAGGAGGAGGAGGAGGGCAGGAGGAGGAGGAGGAAGGCAGGAGGAGGAGGAGGAGGAGGAGGAGGAGGAGCAGGCGAGGAGGAGGAGGAGGAGGCAGCAGGGGACGGAGGAGGCAGGAGGTAGGAGGAAGAGGAGGAGGAGGAGGAGGAGAAGGAGGAGGAAGAGGCGGGGGAGGAGGAGGAGGATGGGGACGGGGAAGGGGAAGGGGGAGGAGGAGGAGGAGGAGTGGGAGGAGGAGGGAGGCAGGAGGAGGAGGAGGAGAGATGGAGGATGAGGAGGAGGAGGAGGAGGACCCCCTCGCTCGCCGCCGACAATAGCTGCGGCGGCGGCCGCGCACGGTGCAGGAGCTGTGCCTGCGCGACCGCTCCCCTCGCCCGCCCCGCGTGCTCTCTCGCTGCTTCGCTCGGGATGCGGCCGCCGCGTGCCACTGCCGCCGGGGATGGGGTCCCTCTCGGGATCTATCCCTGGTGGCGGGTCAGGCGGACAGGGGCGACACAAGGAGGGGAAGGAAGAGGAGGAGGAGGAGGAGGAGGAGGAGGAGGAGGAGGAGGAGGAGGAGGAGGTTGTAAGACTCAAACGGACACCAGCATTGTCCGATCAACGCTAAGGAGGGGAGGGAGAGTGAGGAGAGGAGAGGGAGGAGGAGGACGAGGAGGAGGCGGAGTAGAGGAGGAGGAGAAGGAGAGGAGGTCGAAGGAGGAGGAGGCTAGGTGTAAGACTCAACGGGGACATCCTAGTAAATGCCCGATCACGCAAGAAGGAGGAGGGAGGAGGAGGAAAAAGGAGAGGAGGAGGAGGGGGAAGAGGTTGGGAGGAGGAGGAGGAGGAGGAGGAGGAGGAGAGAGGAGGAGGAGGAGGTTAGGGAGGAGGAGGAGGAGGATGAGAGGAGGAGGAGGAGGAGGAGGAGGAGGAGGAGGAGGAGGCGGAGGAGGGGAGGAGGAGGAGGAGAGAGGGGAGAGTAGGAGGAGAAGGAGGAGGAGGAGTGAGAAGGAGGAGCAGGCGGATGAGGAAGGAAGGAGGAAAAGGCGCAGGGAGGAGGAGGAGAGTGGAGGAGAGAGGAGGCGGAGGAGGAGGAGGAGGAGGAGGGGAGGCGGAGGGAGAGGAGGAGGGAGGGGAAGGAGGGGGAGGAGGAGGAGGAGGAGGAGGAGGAGGGAGGAGGAGGTAGGATGGAGGAGGAGGTAGGAGGAGGAGGAGGGAGGGGAAAGGGAAAGGGGAAGGGGCGGGGGGAGGAGGAGGAGGAGGAAGGAGGAGGAGGAGGAGGAGTGAGGAGGAGGAGGAGGAGGAGGAGGGAGGGGGAGCAGGAGGAGCAGGAGGAGCAGGAGGAGCAGGAGGTTGAGGAGGAGAAGGAGGAGGAGGATGAGGAGGAGGAGGATGAGGAGGAGGAAACGGAGGAGGAGGAGAAGGAGGAGGAGGAGAAGGAGGAGGAGGAGCAGCAGAAGGAGGAGCAGAAAGACAGAGGAGGAGGAGGAGGAGGAGGAGGAGGAGGAGGAGGAGGTGTACGACTGACCGGACATCCATACAATGCCCGATCAACGCAAGAAGAAGGATGCCGATGGCGAGGAGGAGAAGGAGGAGGAGGAGGAGGAGGGGGAGGAGGATGGGCAGGAGGAGGGGATGCTGATGCTGATGATGATGCTGATGATGATGATGCTGATGATGACGATGATGCTGACGATGATGATGCTGATGATGTTGATGCTAATGCTGATGCTGATGATGCTGATGATTCTGATGATTCTGATGATGCTGATGCTGATGACGCCAATGCCGCTGATGATGACGGTGATGGTGATGGCGATTGCGACGGTGATGATGTTGTTGGTGCTGATGAGGATTATGATGATGATGCTGGTGATGATGATGATGATGATGATGATGCTGATTGTGATGATGAGGATGAGGATGATGATGCTGCTGATGATGATGTTGATGGTGTTAGGGATGGTGATGGTGATGGTGATGATGATGCTGATGCTGATGATGAAGATGGTGGTGATGGTGGTGGTGATGATGATGCTGCTGATGATGGTGATGATGATGATGTTGATGATGATGATGCTGATGATAATGATGGCTATGGTGATGGTGATGATGATGGTGAGGATAATGCTGCTGCTGATGATGATGATCTGATGATGATGATGATGCTGATGATGATGACGATGATGATGATGATGATGATGATGATGATGATGATGATGATGATGATGATGATGATGATGATGATGATACTGAGACTGATACTGATACTGATACTGATACTGATACTGATACTGATGCTGGTGGTGGTGGTAAAAAAAGAGGAGGAGGAGGAGGAGGAGGAGGAGGAGGAGGAGGAGGAGGAGGAGGAGGAGGAGGGGGGGGGGGATGATGGAGGAGGGATGAGGAGGAGGAGGAGGAGGAGGAGGAGGAGGAGGCAGGAGGAGGAGTGGGAGTGAGGAGGAGCAGGAGGTGTAAGACTCAACGGACATCCAGAAATGCCGATCACTGCGAGGAGGAGTGGAGAGGAGGAGGAGGAGCGAGGCTGGGAGGAGGAGGAGGAGAACGAGGTAACAGCAGGAGGAGGGAGGAGGAGGAGGAGGGGAGGAGGAGGAGGAGGGCGGAGGAGGAGCAGGGAGTGAGGAGGAGGAGGAGGAGGAGGAGGAGGAGGAGGTGGTGTACGACTAACGAACATTCCTAGACTGCCGATCGCGCGAGGTGGAGGACGGAGGAGGAGGAGGAGG